TTATGCTATAAAATTGCTAAATGCATAGTTATTATTATTAATATTATTTGATCCAAACAATAAAATGGGAGTGATCACCTGTGACCTTCACTGTCTTGGAGGCCTCTGCAGAGCGTCCAGCTGCTGTGTTCTCCACCACACAGGTGAAGTTCTGGACTGTACCAGGTACCGATGGGATCCATTTCAGGATGTTCCTGTTCATGGAGAGGTAGGTGCTAGTGAGGATACCCCCCTTCAATGGCCAGCGGATGGAGCAGTCCAGGTCGATGGTGCAGTTCACCTGGCAGGTAAAGGTGTATTCCCTCCCAGGCAACACTGTGTCAGGGCCACTGATACTAACACTCCAATGATCAACTGTCAGCAAAGGAAGAAAATGTCAGCAAATAGCTTTGCCTCTTCATTTTTTAAAGGAAAATTGGACAGCATCACCCATATTTACTGATTCTCTCAAATGAAGCATAGGCATTCCATCATATACTCACAGTTTAGCAGGTAGCCCAAGCTTATGACCTTTCTGTCAGACAGGTTTGCCATGCTCGCCTCACACTGATAGAAGCCACCATCAGAGGGCAGCAGGGAGTTGAAGTGGAGGGAGGTGTTGTGTTCTAACACGTCTATCCTTGCGTCTGGAGCTACAACCTGGCCGTCTTTGTACCAGAGCACTGGCAGGCCTGGGAAGGAGCCGTCACTGTCCAGGCTGAAGGACTGGTTGAGGATGGGGAGAGAGAGTTGTGGTCTGGGCCTCACGGAAACTGAGTCTGGAACACACAGAGGGGAGATCCAGAGGTGTGATTGGAGGGATGGTTAGGGTTAGGGATCTTAGGCAGATTCAATCAGGGCAGATAGCTGGTTTTCCATACTGTGCTTTCTTAAGAGCGCTTGAAAGCGAAAAGACACATTTCTGTGGATGAACTGTAAGGACAATGGACTATAAAGTATTCTTATTTTCTTTGCACCTCAGCATGTTGCACAGGATGGAAAGAGTTGACACTAGATTTAGACATCTGTAATACAGGTTGCAGTGGTGGCTACAGTAGTGTGAGCCTCTGTAGCTCAGTTGGTAGAGCATGACTCTTGCAACGCCAGGATAGTAGGTTCCATTTCTGGGACCACATTCACACTTGACTGTAAGTTAAAAACAAAAAAATATCGTACTTTTCACCTCCAAGATTGTGGTTATGCTCTTGGAGCTCCCACTCTCTGTGTTGACCGCAGTACACTGCAGCTCCACAATACGGTCCAGACCGTCTGGGGTCCAGGTCAACTCACTCCCATTGAAAGTGCGTCCCTTCAGCAACCAGGTGTGGGTGCATCCTGGGATGCAGTTGGAGGTACAGGTGAAGGTCGTCTCGTATCCAGCTCTTACCCGACCCACGTAGGAGAGGCCTGTTAAATCAGGTCCACCTGCAAGGGAGATTGATTTACTATACAGTCCATTGTTATAGCTTAATAAACCGCAGTCGCAATGTCATAACAAAATAACGAAAAAATAACACAATAACAAACACTATGATACTAAACATATAGTAAAATGTGGCTCTATATAATTGTGAGCTACCAATTGCTTTGGTGGTAATGGTAAGAGATTAGATGTTGTCTTTAATGGTTTTAGGTAGTTGGGTACTCACTTGGATTAGGAGATGCTGCTGAGACACTGGTAGGATCAAGGCCTCCTGGAGAGAGAGAGAGAGGGGGGGGGGGGGGGGGCAAGGAGAGAGACAGAGAGACAGGGAGGATGAGGAGAGATAGAGAGACTTCATGAAAGTGGCAATCAGTGGTAAAAACAATAACAAAGCAGAAGCCCCGCCCCTGGTTCGGTTAAAAGCTGAGGGATGGGACTGGAGAAATCGAACCACCCTCTAATTCTAACACCCTCATAGACAGTGCTATGGATGCAAGGACTTAAAGTTTTAACCATGTTTTGAGGCTATATAGTTTGTTTACATTTGCTTTGTTTACAAACATTGGAGTAAAACAAGCTTATATTTTGGGTTCTGATGGGGAATGACTAGGTTAAGCTCATGAGGCATTTATAAGTTATATTCTTCAAGAATCAATGGGTATATATCATTCATTTATACTGTAAGTACAAAAATGGTGTGGCAACTGCTGCCACTTTAAGGGCATCATACAACCTGACGAGCTGTGTCTGAATAATGTTATTTCTCACAGACTCATGTGAGTGGCTAACAATTTGCCCGATATGTTGTACAATGATCACACTGAAATTGTGACTTTGTGTGTGTGTGAATGAATAAATTAATTAATTTTCGTGTCAAATCGCCATTTGTAGGCCCCTCCTTTACAGGATTAATTGACTGAATGATTCAGTCATCTGTATATATGTGTTACTGTGTGTGTGTGTGTGTGTGTGTGTGTGTGTGTGTGTGTGTGTGTGTGTGTGTGTGTGTGTGTGTGTGTGAATTTGTGGGAGAGACCCCTTACCTGTCAGTGCCAGTACCAACACAGTGTAGAAAGTCTTCAAATAGAATGCCATAGTATTACCCCCAAAATCTTCTAGCACTCTCTGTGGCCACCCAAAATATGTGGACACCTTTATACCTTCATTCGTACAATTAGTGTTATGTTGACATACTGTAATGTCCCAGATTTCAACATCTGAGTCATACAATTATGATGTATTCATACATTATTTACACACGCCTCTTGTGCTGAGAAACCTTGAGTGGAGATTCCAGGTTGCTAAAATATTTTGTTTTTATTTACACCTTACTCAAAGAGTGGGCTGGTTTAGATTATTGTGTGTACACTAGTAAGTGCTGGGTGAGTTGAGATTTGTGTAAAATGCCTTCATCTCTTGCCTCATCCTTTCCTGACTGCTACTGATTCTGAAATGTCCTGTTGCTCCAAAAGCAGAATGTTTCAGGTGACGACCATCAATAGTTGATTATATTGAATAATGTGTGTTAGAGCTGGGCTGGAACAAAAACCTACACAGTATGGCCCCTGTAGCCAACCACTGTGGTTTGTGTACGATATCCCCCTGGTTAACTGGGTCACTGGAGTTCTTTACTGATCAAGTTCCCTGACCTCTTGGCAATATTGTGGTAATCAGTGACTAAACTGACTGGAAATTACAGTCACTGTAATCTAGTTCCCATGCTGTGCGCAGTAGCCTGGGGACGAGGTTACGGTCAATGTAAAGGTGTGTCTGAGCTGATGTGTTTGCAGGTGTGGCCAGGAGCCACCAGGGGGTGATCAGGCCGCAGTTTGTTCTATGACCTACCGTTTCACCTGACCACCATGGACTGCGCCAAAGATTTTCTATTATACAGTGAGGGAAAAAGTATTTGATCCCCTGCTGATTTTGTACGTTTGCCCACTGACAAAGACATGATCAGTCTATAATTTTAATGGTAGGTTTATTTGAACAGTGAGAGACAGAATAACAACAAAAAAATCCAGAAAAACGCATGTCAAAAATGTTATAAATTTATTTGCATTTTAATGAGGGAAATAAGTATTTGTTGCCTAAATGCCACGTGCGTCCACTTATATCAGTGCATTCTTAACAACCTAACCATTACGAAACTTCTATTCAGTCTTGTACCAATCTTTATGTGGCCTCCCAAAATATGTGGAAACATTTATAGCTTCATTAGTACAGGGAGTGTTATGTTGACATACTGTAACGTCCTGGATTTCAACATCTGACTCACAAAATTATATTTATTCATACATTCTAGATTCTTTATACACTCCTCAGCCAATTTAAAGAGCAACGGCTCCTATAAAACAACTTCTCATTTAGAAAACAGCCTATGTGTCATCCATTTAAGTCATAAACATTAATCTACTGTCAAAATTGAATACAAAGTGTAAATAGGATAATTTTGGTTATAAAGTCAGTCAGAGATTCCAGGTTGCTAAAACATTCTGTTTTTATTTCCTCGTTACCTTACTCAAAGAGTAGGCTGGTTTAAATGATAGTGTGTACACTAGTAAGTATTGGGTGAGTTGAGATTTGTGTAAAATGCCTTCCTCTCTTGCCTCCTACCTTCTTTGACTGCTACTCAATCGGAAATTACCTGTTTCCCCAAAGCACAATGTTTCAGTTGATGACCATCATTAGTTGATTATATTGAATCATGTGTTAGAGCTGGGCTGGAACAAAAGCCTACACACTACGGCCCCTGTAGCCAACCCCTGTGGTTTGTGTATTATATCCTCCTGGTTAACTGGGTCAAAGTCAAGTTCCCTGACCTCTTAGCATAACTGTGGTAATCAGTAACTAAACTGACTGGAAGTTACCGTCACTGTGAAGGAGTGCAAGGTCTGTCTGATCTGGTCTGGTATCTGCACTGGAGGTGTGACCAGGAGCCACCAGGGGGTGATTTGCCTGCAGTTTTTTCTATGACCTACCATTTCACCTGACTGCACCATGAACTGCACTCAACCCATAGATAGAAGACTCATCTTTGTATCTGTGCCGTTATAGGCTATCTCCATTTTGAAGTAGTCCAGTTTATTCTTCATGATTGGCTGATCCCTCCTGATGACCCGGTTGTACTTGACTCCAACAGGGTTACCAGGAGGGATAAGCCAATGAAGTTGGAAGTCCCACCCAGTTGACTGTATTAAAATGGAGCTGCCCATGCTAATACAGCCTTTTGGCCTCTAGAGGCCTCTATCATTCTCTATGGCACAACCTTAGTTATGTATGTAGAACACTTGTGACGTAAAAGGTAGAGAAGAAGGATAATAATGTGGCCAGCAGGACTGGGTTAAAGAAAACATTTTATTTCACCGAGCATATCCAGTTATGGAGATGTGTCATCCCTTTGGCTGAGGAGCACCACCTTATTGAATTCTGGTTGATACATACAGAAGAGAACAACATGAAATAGGACATTTTCAATTTAAAGAGCAACGGCTCCTATAAAACAACTTCTCATTTAGAAAACAGCCTGTGAGTCATCCATATGAGTCATAAACATGTATTCTACTGTCATAATTGAATACAAAGTATAAATAGGATAATTTTGGTTGTAAAGTCAGTCTCATCCAAAACAGAGTTTTGTGTGACTTGTGGTCGCAACTACATCACAACGTAACTGAAGGTTGGGTTTGTTTCAATCCTGCCCACATGCCCACAGCTGGCCTTTCTCAAGTAGTTTATTGACGGTCCCTAACTAGCTCTGGAGATAGGTTATCCAAAGTCAAACCAATTTTGCCACGGTTGAAGCTAATTGGCGAAATAATTTGGCTAACTCTTCCCACCTGCGAACACACACACGAGACACCCACATCAAACTACACCCTGAAACCAACTCACATTTGAATTCAGTCATGGCCGCTAGCAGTTCTTAATGAACCAAATCTAAAGCGAGGCCAAATTAGGAAGCGCAGTCTCCATTTAAAATATCACCACAAATTATGAATCTACAGCTCTGGAAAAAATTAAGAGACCACTGGAAAATTATCAGTTTCTCTGGTTTTACTATTTATAGGTATGTGTTTGGGTAAAAATTACATTTTTGTTTTATTCTATAAACTACTGACAACATTTCTCCCAAATTCCAAATAAAAATATTGTCATTTAGAGCATTTATTTGCAGAAAATGACAACTGGTCAAAATAACAAAAAAGATGCAGTGTTGTCAGACCTCAAATAATGCAAAGAAAATAAGTTCATGTTCATTTTTAAACAACACAATACTAATGTTTTAACTTAGGAAGAGTTCAGAAATCAATATTTGGTGGAATAACCCTGATTTTCAATCACAGCTTTCATGCGTCTTGGCATGCTCTCCAACAGTCTTTCACATTGATGTTGGGGGACTTTATGCCACTCCTGGCGCAAAAATTCAAGCAGCTCGGCTTTGTTTGATGGCTTGTGACCATCCATCTTCCTCTTGATCACATTCCAGAAGTTTTCAATGGGGTTCAGGTCTGGAGATTGGGCTGGCCATGACAGGGTCTTGATCTGGTGGTCCTCCATCCACACCTTGATTGACCTGGCTGTGTGGCATGGCGCATTGTCCTGCTGGAAAAACCAATCCTCAGAGTTGGGGAACAATGTCAGAGCAAAAGGAAGCAAGTTTTCTTCCAGGACAACCTTATAGGTGGCTTTATTCATGCGTCCTTCACAAAGACAAATCTGCCCGATTCCAGCTTGCTGAAGCACCCCCAGATCATCACCGATCCTCCACCAAATTTCACAGTGGGTGCGAGACACTGTGGCTTGTAGGCCTCTCCAGGTCTCCGTCTAACCATTAGATGACCAGGTGTTGGGCAAAGCTGAAAATTGGACTCATCAGAGAAGATGACCTTACTCCAGTCCTCTACAGTCCAATCCTTATGGTCTTTTGCAAACCTCAGCCTGGCTCTTTTTTGCTTCTCATTGATGAAGGGTTTTTTCTAGCTTTGCACGACTTCAGCCCTGCCCCTAGGAGCCTGTTTCGAACCGTCCTCGCCATGCACTTCATCCCAGCTGCCGTTTGCCATTCTTCTTGTAGGTCACTTGATGTCATCCTACGGTTGTTGAGTGACATTCGAATGAGTTGGCGGTCATCCCGGTCAGTAGAGAGCCGTTTTCACCCTCTGCCGGTCTGTAGCTTTGTTCTTATGAACCGCCACCTTTGAAATTTTAAGGATGGAAGCAACCTGATGTTCACTGTATCCCTCTGCCAGTGAAACCTGAATTGAACCCTTCTTTTCCTCACACAAAACTTTCCTTTTCAACTCTTTTGGTATGGTCAATAGTTATTTTTTGATTAATATTACTTTTGAGGTACTATTAGCACTGTTTTTGCCATCCAGCTGGTCCTATTGCAAGAGGATAATGATGACCACAGCAGTGGTTTTTATACTTTTCCTCGTTAAATAAGATATGGTTCAGGTGATCACCTAATCAGTTCCTAATTCAGTAGAATGAGGTGTGCCTGTGTTGGAATTCAACAGACACTCGAATGGAATAGCTGTCATACGTGTAATTTTTTCTTAATTCTTTCCACAGCTGTATACCACCAGAGGGCACAGACATGATTCAGCAACTGGCTATGTATGGCCCATTAGCCGAAACTAAACAGTCTACACTCTTTAAAAAAAAGGTGTTATCTAGAACCTAAAGGTGTTCTTCAGCTGTCCCAAAGGATAACTCTTTGAATAACCCTTTTTGATTTCAGGTAGAACTCTTTTGTGTTCCATGTAGAACCCTTTTTCCAAGAGGGCTCAACATGGAACCCAAACCCACTTTAATAATGTTTACATATCTTGCACTACTCATCTCATATGTGTATACTGTATTCTATTCTATAATATTCTACTGTATCTTAGTCCGCTCTGTCATCGCTCTGTCTGCTCTGTCATTGCTTGTCCATATATGTATATATTCTTAAATCCCATTCCTTACTAGTTTTGTGTGTATTGGGTACATGTTGTAAAATTGTTAGATATTACTTGTTAGATATTTCTGCACTGTCAGAGCTAGAAGCACAAGCATTCCGCTACACCCCGCTATAACATCTGATAAAC